CATGCTGGACGAGCCGCACACGCCTAGGCATCCAAGGGGGCGCAAGCAATTCGGAATTGTTCTTTCGCTCTTTAATGTCGTGATTAAACATTACAATCGTGAGTCGCTCCCCTGTTACTTTTCCTGTTGATTGTTTTAAGTGTTCAATTATTAATAATTTTTTTTCTTGCTAGCTGCTGTTCTGAGAATTCATAACCGAGAAATATGAATGTGCAGAATATGTGAATCGTTTAGTTAATACAGAATACACAGTATTGGGCAATGTTTAATACTCTTTATCTTCACCTTTATCTTCTTTTAATTAACCAGCTTAATCATATTATTATTTCTTTTACTTATTCCTTATTCTTATGCTATATTGTTGACTTTTTTACCCTCTTCCTCCTTTCTCTTGTCGTCCTTCTCGGTACCCAGCTAATGTTAATCCCTCTTGACAACTGCGGGGTCCGCTGTAACACGAAAGCGTGCGTCACATAAACGTCCAGCGGTTTTCTTAACTAAACTATTGACAGACAACAGATTCGGTGTGCTGCGCTAATATTATTTCCTGAAATTTTTGAGATTGCGATTTAACATTAGTCTTTTGTCGCTCCCTTACTTTTTCTATATTTTGTATACAAATGACTCACAAGAAAATTATTTCTATTATTATTATTTATTGTTCTTTTTATTTAATAATATTGATTCAATCGTTAATCGCTCGTTTCACTTGTTTTTAGATGGATCAAAAGATAGATATATAATCTAATTAGGGTTTAACGTCCGATAGGAGATTTATTACATACAATAAATTATTACAATTAAATTCAATGTCCCAAGCAACGCATCGTATACATTCTTAGGTATACACTAATCGTATTATTCATACTACAAATTCAGCACTTTACAGACAAAAATAAAATGCATCGCCATCAAGAACCAACACGTTAGCATGCATTGCTATCGCATATATTTGGAATTTATATTTTGATTTGTCGAGAGTCACTGTCGAATTAGGGTGGTATTCAAATACCCTAACACACAGAGATGTTTTAATAGTATTGTCCAAAGCGGGTTACTTTTATTCATACATACTAAGTAAAGTTAATGAGATACAGAATGAGAAACTCTCCTCTTGTCCTCAAATATGTTCACTTCTGTATTTTACTTGCTGCATTGTTTATATTTATGCCGCCATATATTATTAATTTATATATCATATATTTCAATAGAAAATACAGTTTTTAATAATCATCGTTATAATCGTATCACACTGAGATGTTATAACAATTAATCTTTCGTACAAGTACCATCGCCAAAGATACGCGATGATTCTGAAAAATGTCCATACGTGAACGATCGTTTCTCGTTTCTCATTGCTTGCTCATAAGCTGAAATACGCAATGGTGCGGGTTCAATTTTACTTTCTCGCCCTACTACCTAAGAAGCGAAAGTATGAAAATCGTGTGTCGGCAATCAGCGATTTTTCGACAAAAACTCTTATTGCCGAAGCCTGGTAACGAAGAAGAGGATAAATATTTTTCTAATATGTAGTATATAACGTAGTAGTCGCGTTGTTTAGTTGGAATCCAAGTTCTGAGAGTCCTTTATACCAAAAAATCAATTAAAGGCAAAAGTATGTCAGTGTTCTGTCCATCTGTGAGTGATCAACACTAGCACCTAAAATGTTCAGCAGATCTTATTTGAAAATTGATATTCCCCAATCGATCTGAACTAACTCGAGGCCCTGCGAGTTTGAAACCGATATTTTGATTGGAGGGGGAGGGGCTTTACAGGAATCCTCAACACTTACCACGGATTGTGGAACAGTGTCAGCATATAACTTCCCATTTTAGCAGGTCGTGTTTTTATTTGTATTTCTGTTTTGGAGTCAATCATGAATGAAATTCCAAAGAACAGTAAATTTTCGGTAGTTTTCACATCATCTGACCTGTAGCTGGCCAATAAAAATTTGTCTTCCATTCTTTGTTTGCAAATCGTTGATGAGAACAACAGCAACAGAAGTTTCTGTTTAATAATTGCGATTATAGTTAATAATTGCTATTATAAAACTTTGGTACTTTATCGTACCCTGGTTTCCATTGACCACGCTATTCCAATTGTCTTAGATTACCACCTCACGATGGCCTTCTCTCTCTATAATCATCATTATTAAATCTTAGATCATTCGAATCAAACATAACATTCTTAGAATCCGTTTGATATAGAAGGCGATAATATTGTTACTAAGCCTAAAGTTAAAGATCTGATTTATTCAAAAAGCTGCAAAGATTCGTCGGTTTTTAATTTGTTCTTTTTTCTTTCTGATAATGCAGTTGCATTTTGTGACCTTGATTCCATTAATTCTCTCCTTCCAGGCATTTTCATGTCGATTTAGTCAAGCCACATCTTCTTTAATGACGTATTTTCACTGATATTTGGGATCTCTTCTTACTTTCCTTCAAATTACAAAGTTTAACAATAAAAGTATTCAAAAAATAAGTGAGAAGGTTAAAGCAATTGAGTTCACTTCAACGTTTTCCCCGGCGTCGTTCATTCATCACATATATCAAAACCGTCCTATCCATTTGCCTTTGTTATATCTTTTAGGGATGCTGTAATGCTCATTGTTTCTCAAACCACCTTTTTTCACTCTGTCCTGAATCATTCTACATCACACAACATCGCATTTTAGGATTCTCTTTTCTTTCGGAATGTGCCTTTGGATATTCTATTGTTCTTTTTCCGTTTTTGCTCACGATTTATACATAGAGATTTCTATTTTTTTAATTATATACATAGGGATATTGTAAATTCTTGACTTCATTTTTTT